CAATTTAACTGAGATACTTCATTAGAACATAAAGGAAGGCTCAAGAGAAAAAATGGAAATGTAGCTCTCACAGTGATCCCTCCCCGGGGCCCCTCTAAAAATATTAAAAACAAAACCATAGCATATTGTCCGTAGAGAATAAAGTGACTACCTCATTAAAAGTGAATCAGAGAGACAATATAGATAATTTTGTCAAAGCAAGAGGTCTCAGGACTCAATTCTGAATTTTGTGATTGATTCTGTTAATAATTTTTCTTTCAATTACTTTTCAGCATGTTTTTTGTTGAACTTTGAAAGTTGAACAAAATTTTTGGAGCGCCCCCCCCCCCTGTTTTTTGAACTGTCTGCTCTGAAAGTGCTAGTTATGCCACTGGGTAACAAGTTTTTTAAGGACCACCAAGGGATTATACAAGGGGAAACGAAATGGCGGAAACTTAATGGAAATAGGAATAATTAGATAGGTGCGGGTAGGATTTTTAGAGATTTTAAGACTGTACATACTGTCTTAATCATACAACCTAAGATACAATCTAAGATAGTGAGTATATAATTTTTGAAATAAGACAGAATTATGAAGGAATTATCAAGGAATTTTTAATTGTAGCATTCTTGGATGAAAATCAAGCATGGTTTCCAAGAGCAAAGTTATTTATGATTGAGAGTTCTGGATATTTCTGCTTTCAAAGTCTTCTTTTTCGTGAGAACTGTGGGTGATTTATTAAGTAAATTTTACATTCCAGAACATATTTCTGGCATTGACCAAACATGTGATTAACGATGAAGAAATTCATCAAAATTTATACAAATCTCCACAAGATAAGAATTCTAAAAGATAATTAGTGGAAGTACAATTTCGCATTAATGATTAGGTGTTTTTGAGGACACCTCAAACTTCCAATACTGATCACCAGTACTTTCGGATTATTGCTGGTCTCTATAAGAATTCTGGAACGCCATTTGGAAAGGTTTGTCCTCTAAAAAAAACTTTGGATCAAACAATAGGAACTTACGATTTTAAGCACTTGAATTTGTACTAATATTAAGGCATCTAAAAATTTGAAAAACAGAAATATGTTGATGTTTCTTTGTTTTAAAATAATTTTTGGTAGAGAGGAAAACGTATTGAGTTATAATGAAGTGTTATTTATATTTCGTCCATTTTTTTTTACATCAAGACAACAATAGACACTGCCTACTGAATAGAAAATCATAGGTTGGCACTGTTCGATGTCATATAGGCTAACAACCTGCGAAGGCACGAAAATTAACATGCTAAAAGGAAATACACGTTCTCCAGTGAGGATGTAAAGCTTAATAGAATGCTTTAATCACAATGGTGTCGTTAAGTGGAGGTATTTGATGTAACGATGCAATGGCACATTATTGGTCTATTGACGAAGGACAGAACTAAGTAACATTAAATGGACTAAAATATTCGGGAGAAAGAATACAGTGAATTATATGTATGGAATTAGACAAAAAGGAAAGACTTATGTTTTTAGAAAGGAGAAGATCTACATAAGTAATGTTATTAAAAATTCTGAAATTAACTGAATGTTTCTTATTTCCATTTACAATATAATATAGTGTAATTTTTTAAATAGTAATAAATGTTATCTTTTATTTTGAATTTGAAAGTGTTTTATTTTAACATTTTCAGTAAGTTACCTTCTTGAAAACTATTGTGAATACCATCAGCCCTAAACAAATATTAAATGGATAATTTTATTTTCCTCCATTAAGTAGATTTATTATATTTTTGAATAATGAACAAAGTAAAAAACACCTCAATGTAGATAACACTAAGGAATTATTGAATATCTTAAAAAGATATATGAAGGTGCAGTTAGTTAAAGCAAGATCCAATTTAAAATTCAAATAGTGAAAAATGAAAAATTTGAAAGAGAAAGTATTCATAAGTGTTTGAAGATTGCAGGTTTTTTAAAATACTGAAATTTTAAATTAAGAACTAAAAAGCTAGGAAAATTAATTGATTTCACATGTCATTGAAGATCTTCCTAATAAATACTGCCAAGTTTCTATTGCAATTTCATTGAATCTACCAATTAATTATGAAACTATGAGAGAAAAGCTTTTACATTTTGAAAGAAAGAATGATAAGGGAGCAGAATTGGAAACTAATGCATTTAAAGTCAAGAAACAAAAGAGAGGTGCATGCATTAACTGTGGAAAGCAGTCATTTAGCTACAAATTGTGGAACAGAACTGATTATGTAAAAATAACAAACCTAATATAAATATAATAAAAAGTGTGAAATACATTGTAGTAAATAATTATACAAAGTTACTATAAAGGTATATATAGAGGTAGAGGTAGAATGTATGAGAATTTTAATGAACATATAATGGATAATAAGAAAAAGAATGACACAATTTGGATGTTAGATTTTGCATACACATCTTGTATAGGTTATCAGGAAAATATTATTTTAGAGTCAAGACCAGAAAATACTATTAATACTATAAATTACTATTATATATTAATACTATAAAATACTGAAAATACTGTAAATAAATTCAGCTGAAAGTGGAAGAAATTTCTTTTAGAAAAAGTCATGGAATTGTTAGATCTAATAATAAAAATGTATGTACAAAGCATACACGGGCTATCCGATTTGGAATAAAATGAAGTGTCATCTAGGAAAACCTACATACTTTGGTAGAGCAGATCACATGCACAAAATTAAGAGAAGAATACAGAAAACGGACGTTGGGAAATTTTCATTCACAAACTGCACTATTAGAGACTGAAACAGTTTGAATGCAACAATCTTTGAATCCTTTCCTCTAAGCTTGAGAAAATTTAAAAACAAATCAGTTTTCTAGATATTTATGTTTATTTTAGGTTACTGTATTTCTGTTAAGTTTCTACTGTTAAATTAGTGCGGTGAAATTTTGTATTATTTATTATTAATTACCATTTTTAATTAACTAATCTCTTGTAATTTATCGTTAGTTAATGTAAGCTTAATTAGGGTAAATTTAAGATTTTCTGCCACCACATTCCGATATTTTGTTGCAAAAGTAATAATAAATCTAAAATTAAAAAAGTATTCGAAAAATGGAAAATGAATTGTATGTCCATAATATTAATATCAATAATAGCTTAATGTCTGTTCTTAGCTTAGTAAAAAAGAGAAAGAAAATTATTTTAGATAAAAATGCAGCTAGAATATTTCAAAAAGATACCGGAAAATTAATTATGGAAGATACATTTGAAAATGAATTTGTTAATATGAATGATCATGACATTCAGAAATATGTTTGTTTAAAGGTAATGGAACCAAAATTTCAATAGCAGCAAAGAAGGTTAGGGTATATTAATTTTAAATATTTAGAAAGGTTGATCAGTAATGATTTAATAAATGGATTACATCAATTTAATATTAAAAAAAAAAAGTGTGCTTATGAAAAGGAAGACAAAATTGCTTTTTGATCTGTCATCCGTTTGCTGTAGATACACTTGGAGGAAAGAGATTTATGATGGTATGGAACAATTTTTATAACATGTGTCGTTTTGACAGTTTGTGCTGGCAACACAACTGAAGGTTCTGTGGCCGTATCTTTGAACCTATAAGACTCTCCTTCCTCCATTTATTCATTTGCAGTTGGCTAACTTGTAAATGGCTTCGACTTCTTTTTATGATGTTCTCGTCCGACAAAAATATAGTGCACCATGAGAAATGATAAAAATTAGAAAGTGCAGAGCTATGTGCTCTTCTATAAAAATTCTTTTTTTTTTTATAAACATTACATTGTTTTTACAACATTACTTAGTTCTTATGTGATAAGTATTATGTTTGTTTTAACATTGGGTCTTGAATGTGAGCTGTGTGGTAGGCATCCACATGTTTTCGGCCCCAGCGTTGTAAGGTGGCAAGCTGTGTTGGCAAGTGTTTCATGGTCATGTGCTTTGCTTTTTATATTTATTTTTTAAATAATTGTGACACGGTTGTGAACCATTAACCAAAGTGGGCGCCAGAGTGGGCGCAAAGCGCATCCTCCTTGTTAACACCAGCACCACAAGAAGACATTATATTTATTGCATGGAAAATTGAACAATTGAAAGGCAAGGAAGGCTGAAAGCAGGATCTGTTCTGATGCTCACAGTGGAACTCCTGAATTTGAGCAAAGATACAGTTTTAAAGTAAGCTTTTATATTATTATTATCACACTTTAATGACTTATTGTGCAATTGATAAAAGTGTAACTGAAGGAATTATGTGTATTTAGGTATTACAAACAGAACTTTAATGAATTGAGAACTCTGGGAAGAAAAGAAATTGAAAAGCGTGCGTAATAGACAAAGTGGATGATTTTGGCAAAGGCATCATCAGAAAAATTATTTACGGGATGGGCGAAAGGGTAAGTTTCAATTTAAATTTAATTACTTAGCCAGTATATTTCTATTGAAGTTCCCATTTGAATTTGAAGTTCACCTTTTCAGGTGAATACGAGACATTAGATTCTTTGATTATGGAAGTAAGAAAAACTGAGGATGTGGGATTTTCTGGTAGTGAAAAAACTTTGAGAAGATTATCATTGGAGGCAGGATTTTCATGGGAGAAGACAGATTATCGAAGGGCCTTGATGGAAAGAGCCGATATTAGTGCTCATAGAATACAATATTTACGGCAGTATAAAAATTGGAAAGATGAATACAGTAATTTTGTTTTCTTAGACAAGGCATGTTTTTTTTCAAAAGCAGATATTAAATATAACATAAATAAAAAAAACACCTGATATTTATATTTGAATACTAATTAACAGTTAAATAAACAGAACACTAGTTAAATTGTCATTTTGTTCCAAGAAACTTTCACTGACACAAGGAAACAGCAAAATTTTATATATATTTAACACATTTAATTAAAATAAATATTTCCTACCCTTGTTAATTTCTTTCTTTAAATTTGTATATTGTTTATAGTTTTCTGCAAACTGTCACTTTGGCCCACTCTCATAAAAATCACATTCTACTTGGGGATGAATTAAGTAGAAGATTATCTGTAGAATTTTTAAAACATAAAAATGAAGCTGAAATTAAACTAGACTATTTATAGAAAGACATGAAAGAGAAACAGGAAGGTAAAATTCATACATTCAGATAAAGGGCTCGAATTTATAAATAAACTGTTAATGAAATATTATTTTAAAAAAATTATTAAAATAAAGAGAGAGAGAACTACAATATTCACTCCTGAAAACAAAGGGACTGCTGAAAGTGCATATAGATATTGGATAAGGCAAGAACAATACTAATAGATGTGGATCTATCACCAAGATTTTGGGCTACAGCTTGGACTGCTGGTAACACACACCCCTATGAGAAGTAGGTTGAAAGTATCATTGGAAAAGTGAATCAGGAGGAAACTATTAATTCAATATTTCAGAGTATTTGGATGTAGAACATATTATAGGAATGATGAAAGTTTATGAAGAAAAAATTTGTAAGACAGCAAAACAAGCTATATTTGTTTGTTACACGAAAAATAGAAAAGCTTATCTTTTTGACATAGAAGATAAACAAATGAATGAGTAGAGATGTAATTTTCTTAGAAAATGAGAAAGAATTAATAATAGAATATTTAATTTAGAAAATTTCAACTGGTTAACAATTTCTAATAATAAAGAAATATTTAATGAAGAGATAAATACTGAAGATATAAAGGTTTAGGAAGCTGAAGAAATAATTGATAATAATGTTCAAATATTTCATGGAGTTTAAACAAAAGAAGTGATGAAGAAAATGAAGAAAGAAATTCTGAAAGAAAAAGTCATGAAGATACAGTAAAACATGTGTATGATGGATCCTCTAAGATTGAAACATGCCAACTCGGACACAAAATCTCAAAACTGAAGGATTTTATGAGTAAAATGACCTCTATAAGCCAGAAACGGAATGTTTTCTAGTTCAATTCTCAAAAGTGTCACCACATTTCCATAAATGAACAAAAGAATTCTGGGAAGGCTGTATTGCCATCTTAGCACAGCAGTCGTAGACGTGTAGACCACACAATTTAATGACATCTTGCAGAAAAGTAAGAAAGTTATGTGCTAGTGAGTCAAAAAGTCTGTGAAGCAGAGCTGTCCCTTCCACTACAGAAGTAAATGGCAGTGATTGATCTAGTTGTGAAATTCGAAGTGAGTAAATTTATGACATTTTACAAATTAAGGACAAAATTGAAAATGAATGGTTAAAAAGACAAAATTATATCTAAAATATTGTATTTAAGTTATATGGTGAATTTTTGTCAATCTTCTATAAGAAAGAAACCTGCCAAGATGGACATTTTTTGAAGGAACTGTTAGATTCCACTTTACACAGGTTTTAATGTACCAGAAAATAATGTTAAGGATTTATATGTCATTGAAGATAAAGCTTGAGTAAATAAAAGATCTAGTAGGGAAAGAAAACCTGTTTCAAGATATGTTTCTCATGTGTCCCATGAGAACATGAGAAACCATACTAAGAAGCTATGAATTCTAAAGAAAAAGAATTTTGGATAAAAGCTATAGATAACAAATTGTTTACTCATAAAAAATAAAAAACAAACATGGGAAATAGTTGAAAAACAAAGAATGTGAATATATATCATAGGTCAGAGTCCAGATGAGAGCCCAGATCATAATGTGAATATAATAATAACAAATGGGTATTTTCTACAAAATTAAATGGCGAATGTAAATATAAAGCTCGTTTAGTGGCTAATGGTTTGAGTCAGAAAATTAGTTACAGATAATGAAAATTCATATAATCCTGTTATTAAGTCGGAACCTTTCCGAGTGTATTTAGTCATTTCCAAATCGAATAAGTACAAAGTTTGTTTCATTGATGTAGAAACACCATATTTAAACGGCCAATTAGACAGAGTTGTTTAAACGAGATCTTCGAAAGGTATTAAGGAGGGAAAGGTTTTCTTTTATAAAGAAGAGTATACCCGGCCTGTCTCTAGCAGAAAGATGTTGATTTTAAAACTGACACTAATATTGAAGAAACTGGAATGCAAACAACAAAAAGTGATCCATGTGTATTTACTGGTGACTAAAGATATTAATAGATTTATAGCCATAGGATTTGATGTAGATGGTATGTTGGATGTGATGTTGATGTATTGGTTGGAAATGATTATACTATAATTAAAGATTTTTTTAATGAATTTAAAGGAAGAGATTACAATTAAAGCATTCAACAATAATATTAAATTTTTGGGCTATTGGAGTTGAAGAAAACTGTTTTTATTTAAATCAAAAGAAATTTTGGAGAACAATAATATGAATACTCGTCTACCTGTGAATACCCCTACTCTCAAGTTGCAGGACAGAAATTAGATGCCTACCCTATCAGGATTCAAAAAAGATTAACCTATCAATATATCAAGAAATATTAGGAAACATTGGTTACCTTGTGAGTGGAACTAGACCAGATTTAGCTTTCACTTACAGTAAACTTTCTTAGTACGGTAACTATGAAAGATATTCATTCACCTCTAGATTGCAAAGGATTGAGCTAACAGTTGATGTTAACCCAATAGCAAAGAAAGAGAGAACAACAGAACAATAAAATTTTATTACTGAACTTTGTTATTACAACATTACCTGCACTAGCTCCATATCCCGCTTACTGCATGCAGCTGCTCTGTCATTCAGTTGATGTTGCAACTCTGACCTCTGGTTAATTTGCTCCTGCAGCATCTCCTGCAAGGAGTCCAACTCCTGTGCACGTGGATAAAGGTGGTCTGTCACATGTTGGAAGTAGAAGTCATAGAAGTTATCCATTGCAGCCACGTACATGATGTCTTCTGGTTCTGTGGTTGCAGTGGAAAATAACTTTTTAACAGGCATTTTTGAAAAAATATGGAGGTTAAACTGCACAAGCCAAGGTTCAAAAAGGAATGCTCTCCAACAAATATTTCAGTTTATATTTCTTCCCCGTACACTACACACTTTTTTATTGTGTTTTGATGATAAATAAATTTAAAAAAAGTAGGTTGCGGGGACTTTTGCAGGTAAGGAAACTGGCAATGTAGGCATCATTAACACTTCTATCACAATTTAAACTTTCATTATGAACTTATAACAGACTTATCATACACAATGTTGTAAATAAAAAAGTTTCATAGTTTTAGTCCATAAATTTGGTTAAAAATTATTTCACCAAATTACCACTCTAAGATGAACTTGACTCACTTAGAACAGCGGCAAGATCCATTATCTTAACAGCAATCAATGTTTTAACTTAAATTAAACAACTCAACTCAACAAAAAAAAATTTAATGTAATTCAATTGCATACAACATCAATGATGAACTATCTAAATTAATATAATTACTCTATAGAAACTCTACAACAGAACATTCCGCAAGAGACATCTCATTATCTAAAAGGAATACCGATGTTTAAAATTTACTACCTTTCTGACAGAATTGGAGAATCTAATTTATTGGAAGAAGATAGCAAATAAAATGTACACTCACTTGGCTCCATTAGGGACTCTACAGTAAAATTTGCAAAATATTTCGGTACTGGGCAAACTTTCTTCACAGCCTTGTACACTTGAATATAGGCACTAATGTCTTTATAGTCACTGTCAATTAACTCGTGATGAGACATTCCCTTAATGTCAATGCCCAATTGCGCAATAACAGTTGCAAAATATCGCATCATGAATTCTGAAGTTGGGTGTTGAAGATCACTCATAGAAACAAAATCTGGTCCATGTTTTTCTCTTAAATTATTCAACAACTCTTGGTTATTCACGCGCACCGACATATCGATGACCGCCTTTTCAACGAAGTGCCCGCGGAATTATTCGAGTCGTAACAGAATAACCAATAAAATCATGGAAAGTGCAAGGTTCGAAGCAAAGAGTATGTTGTAAGATATATTTCATGGTAGCAAAGAACAAGGTGTAAACGCAATGCGCGCGCCAGTTGGGTAAAGTCGTTTTTGACTTTTTGTTTCTCTTATGTTGCAAGACTGGCCATAGATGCCCCTAAAGGTAGGAATGGTCGTTCCGCAGTGGCGTGAACGTGCATTACACTTTCCGTGAGGTCACAAAACTGCACAAAGAGGGCTTGGCACGATTAAGATATATCTTACACCGTGCAAAGAGTAAAGCAGGGTACGATAAGCCACTCATTCAAGGAAATGATTCACTCACCTACCTTTCAGACACGGTCATAGTCACTGTGTAAGAAATGTATTACACCATGGTCACGGTGTATATTTTACACCAGGCATGCCAAGGACGCGGGCAATATAAAGGTGCGTTTACACTGTGCGAGCGCATTTTTTCTTCGCTCGGTTGGTGGAAGCGGAACTCCCGAACGAATCCTATCGTTCGTATGATTGGCGGGAGCGAGCGAATGTTATTAGATCGGTACGTTCGTTCCGTGAAAACGAATGCAGACGCCGAGCGAACACATTCGCTCGGAGTTGGGAGGTTCGGGACGCGGTAGAGCTGTTTTATTTCTACTTGCGAACAGATTGGCGAATGGCGCTAATTTCAACAGTAAGCATAAAGGCGATTGTGCAGTTTGTAGTTTGCGTTGAAAAAGTATTAAACTTTTAAATGATAAGTTTAAAGGTAGGAAAAGAGAAAGTAGGGAACAAAATATACACATTTACTTATATAAATTATATTTTTATATTTGTTTTAATATAACGCATTAATATTGCGGACACCATACATAATTCACTTCTATCAAAACGCACTTTAATAATATTGACGAAGCTGTGACTTGAATAATGAAGTATTTTATAATTGTTTTTGTTGAGAAAATATCAATTTTATTATTTTAATTTAATTGTATTAACTCCCAAACTTTTCTGCTCAATAGAATAGTTTTTAACTACATTAACATGTTTTGTTAAATGTTGATTCATAGTTTTTGGAGAAATTGTGACCTTTTTACTGACCTAAACAGCAATAAGAGACTCACAAAAAATCTATAGTTCTTTCCGTTCTTGAAAGAACGTTTAAAAGAATTACAATTTAATACTATTGAATTCAATAAAAGTAATGCATTTTACATTTTTCAATTCATGAACTAGTTCTCAGAAATAGTTTTATTGATCAGCTTAGTTGCTATTTGTTTATGAAAGCACACAAAAAGAATTAGCCTCAAATGTCGTCGCTCATCTTCAATTCTTTTTACTATGAAAAGTAAATCCAGTCGCTTGTTCGTACTGCAGTGAGCTGCACTACAGATACACAATAACCTCACTTGGGAGGCTGCCTCTGCGAGCGAGCAACATTGTCGACAGAACAAACGTTCGGAGCGCGAGCTCGCTCAGTGTAAATGGGTAGTAACTTCTCGCCCGCGATCATCAGCCGAACGAACGAGCCTTCGTTCAGAATCGCTTGTTCGCTCGCTCGCGCAGTGTAAACGCACCTCAACACTCATTGCTCGTGAGCACTGCGTCCAGAGAAATTGCCGCGAGCTTTAAAAGTACGAATTCTCCGGAATGGCGGTACGTCACTGGAGACCTGGCCCATGTGGATCTTTGGGAGAAGTTACTTGCTAGAAGACAGCTATTGTCACAAATTTAGCTATATAAATTCCTATTTTCTCTTTAAGGCAAAGAAGTGACCGATTAAAATTACATAATATATCAGTCCTGTTTCAAATTGTCAACTGAGAGTAAAATAAAAAACTTAGAATCAAATAAATCTTGGTTTTGTAATTCTGTTTACTTAAGAGTGATATAAAAGCATAAACTTTCTACGTTCAGGTAAGAAGGTTTAATAGACAAATATCCTAATGTGTTAAAAGAGCTGTCCGTCAGTAAGCGAGAATTGTTAACTTACACAGACTTGTTAATTTCACATTATTGCTAAGTACAATAAATAATTTTCGTTTTGTGTAAAACGAAAACATGAAAAGAATTCACCATTCAAACATATTTCTGTCTTTTTTCTTAATGTCGTGTTCTCAAAGCTTGATCTTAGCAGCTATCAAAACTGCTTCCGATTTCGACCTCATTCTTCCCCTTTTAAGCCACATAAATGATTGATCATTGTTAGTCTCTTCCCTTCTTCTTAAACATTGTCCATGGAGTGGTTTCTCTCTCCACAACTTCTTTAAAATTTTTTATGTCTCACGCGTCATGTTAAGTAGCATCAGAAGTTCATTGTCTGTTATTCGGCGTATCTTGCTTAGTCTTGTTCGCAATACTTCTTGCTACAATAATAATTCCTCCGTTTCCCATTCTTCTGTCAGATTCTATGACCTCATCAGTGGGCCATCTTGATGGCTGACTACATAGTTTCCCATTCCGATTATTGTATTGTACTAAGAGCCTTCAGTTTGTCTGAGGCCTCTTACTCCTTCCGTACGTGACAGATAAAATGTATGTATATTAGCTTGGGGGGGGGGGCACGATGCATTGTAAGGAGTTTTCTGTCTTTGATCCTTGATTCAAATTTCTTGCCCAGCCTAGTCCACGAGTCGGAAACTGTGTTCGGCTTCAAGTACCACTAAAGTACCAATTGACGCTATTTTATTCCTGGAATTCAGAGCGGAGTTCCGGAATGTCTCACTTTTCTGTAAAACTCTCTGCGAGTTCTCTCTTTCACTGTCTTTCTTGATGGACTCATATTCTTCAATGCTCATATATTTGTAAGTTTTAACTGGCTCAAGATCTTGAATCACAGTGTGCATATCAACTTCAATGTTCTCTGACATCATCTACCTCTTTTTAAGTTGCTTTTTGCACACTTGTCAATACCAAACTTCATGCAGATGCCATTGCTAAGATCATTAATGACTGCATATGGGAGAGAAACGCTTCAATCTTAGCAAACACTTTAATATCATCCATGTAATACAAATGTGATATTGGCCTTTTATCACCGCGGAGCCTCTAATGAAAATCAGCTTGTGACAACTGTCGAGATAGTGAGATCAAACTACTACAAAACCGCAGAGAGGATAACGAATCTCTTTGGGATTTCCCTGTTAATCTGAATATTCTTGTTTCTACTACTTCCTTCCGCAGTGCATTAGTAACCTGGTACTCTACGACTTCACTCTGACCTTACAAAACTGAATATATAATATAGTAAATATATAATAATCTAGGACGAAATCGACAAATCGCCAGGGTCTTCAAAATCCAATCGTGTGGATATATACTCTCTGTGGTAAACTGTCAAAGGCCTTCTAGAAGTCAATCCAAGCTATACGTTAATTATATTTTCGTTTCCATACATCATTCAAGATTACTTTTTTAGTAGCAAAATTTCCTTATAGGAACCTTTACGACGTCCTTTCTGTTCAACTGTCAACAGGTGGTTCTTCTCTAGGCGTTTATACATTTTGTTAGCTATTGCTGCAGTTATAACTTTGTACAATACTGGTAGACAAATGATTATAATGTAATTCTTCGTCAAAGAACTGTCTCCTGCTTTGGGGAGAAAATAAGTGATGCCGCGTGTTAGCCATTCCGGAAGTTCTTTCCGGGTTTGTAAAAGTTTATTAACAGCCTTTGCTAGATGAGAATGTAATACAGTTAATTTCTTATTCCACAAATCAGGATATTATCAATCCCAGGGGATTTACAGCTTCCCATGTTCTTAATTGCTCGGAAGAGATCCTCTTCCGAGAATGTTCCACTATTTCCACGAGTCCACCGGTAGCATCAACTTCAGATTGGAGGCAATATGCGTCTTTGTTGTAGTATCTGCTTTCTTCCTAGATTCCTGCCGAAAATGTTTCGACGTCATCTTTTGGAGAGGCATCATTGCCATTCGGTTTTTGAGTCAAATTAGGATAGAATGACTTCGTGTACGAAGTTGTTTACTCTGTGTGGCTGCCGGCCGTCGGTGTTCTTAGCTGTCCCCAGGACTAACTGAGATACCAGATATCCAGTTGCATACATGATGTGATTGGTTTCAGTATTATCTAGATCTCTACCTGAGGTCTGTACTGTAAGCCGACATTTATCTTGATCAAAATAAAATATATAATAAACGGCAAGAGAGGTCTTTTTGAGGCGCAAATGGCCGGAACAATAGGGCTTGGGGACAAAGACGTTGGGCACTTTGACGCGCGGCGGCGAGGGTAGGTGCCCTGCGGCACGGAAAGCGAAGACCGCATCGACATCTTTAAGACCGGAGAAGGGGCGATGGAGAAGCGCCAACGTATCGCTGATGGAGTTAGTGTAGCCATTTCGCCCAATGCATTTGCCCACTAATCAATCAGGGCAAAGACCGAACACCGAGAAGAGGAAATTGAAGTGATGTGTGTGAATAGGACCACGAATGTAGGACTGGGCTTGCGCGCTGCCATGCTTGCCTACGATTAGAGCTAATCGGTTTCTGCGCTGCTTGCGCGACAAGACGATAAATCGCCTCCTGATAGGAAACTTTCCACTCAACGACTCATTTAGTTCTGCGCACGTGCGTCTTCCAACGAAGGGTTAGGGTTCAAACAAAGTCGAATTTGACTGTTTCGTCATTTCACCGAATCAATTACGAGAAAGATAGCCGAGAGCGATTACGAGCGGAGTGGGGAGCGAAGGCAGGAGGAGCCGGAGCTCGATGGGAGAGAGAAGAGTGAAGCCAGCGAGAAGCGGTGAGAGTCAGGCGTGAGCGAGAAGGCAGGTCGCGGCTCGCGAGAAGAATTTAGTGAAATTTTATCCGTCTGACTTATATTGATAAGTGTAACTTACCGCTCAACGAACTCAGTTCGAACGACGGACTCAGTAATAGGCCGCTCAACAAAGTATTGTGATATCATAGTTTATTATCATAATTATGACTGTGA